TAATTTATACCATTCTCTTATTTATCCTTATTTCACATATTGTATTGTAGTTTGGGGTCGTTACATTAAGTCTGATATTATTATCTTAGATAAATGTTTATTTATTATGACCTGAAAAATTATGATCATATTACAGATTATTTATCGTTGTCTAATTTGTTGTCTATTCATAAACTGTACGTTTTCAGATTATTATTATTCTTGTTTAATGTTATAGTTAAGAAGAAATTTGTTATGTTTAATTCATATTTAATGAAATCTTTTGAATATTGCAAAAGAACAACTCGGCACACTCTTTTATACAATTGCATTTTTTCTCGTACTGCTTTATTTTCATCTTCAATTTTTGTTTTAAAACTGTGGTCAAAATTACTGTGTTTAGTTTTACAAGTATCTAACTATGGGCTATTTAAAAAATCGATTTTTGACTTGATTAAAAACAACTTTTTTTTACGGGACATGATTTAATTATTTCAACTATTTAAGTTATTTTATAAGGAAAAACTTCAAATATGAATTCAATTGTTTTGTTTAATTTGATAAATTTTGATGATCATTTTTGTTCTAAGTAATTTCTGCTTATTTTTGGTTAAATTTAACTTGTTTTCATTGGCTAGCTATACGATTTTATTTTCATTTATGTTGTTATTTTCATGTAGGTATATGTTTTTATTTGGTTTGGATTGGGTGGCCGTACAAGCTCGTTTGAGCTTGTCTTCATGCTTTTTGCTGAATAAATTGATAATTGAAATTGAAAATATATGTATATACTGACGACCTAAAAACTGAAAGCAAAAAGTTGAGAAAGCAAGATTTTTACGAAAGAATTGATCGATGCTGCAGCAACTTTAAAAAATAACAATAACATTATCATCCGAAAAGCTGACAAAACCCAATGAATGTCATTTTGGATAAAGATGATTATAAAGACAAACTGAATGGCATTCTCAATGACACCGACAAATTTATTAAGATTAGCAGTGATCCAACTGCTAAGTTTAAGACAAAGTTGAATGAGATCATCAGAAGAATCAATGACAAAACAAGAAAAAAGACCCATACTCACAGGCGAATATGAACCAGGATTATGCATACGGTACGGTCAAGACACATAAGGCTAACAACCCTCTACGACCAATAACTAGTCAAAGACCTGCGATCACTTACCCCATCCATTGCAAAATGCTCAACAAAACAATTACACCCTTCACCCCTAACAGCTACAACCAAATTCATAGGAAATTCATAGAATTATTGTCTATAACAAAACCATCCATCAACACCAAAATAGCATCTTTGGATGTGAATTCATTCTTTACAAATGTCCCTGTAAAGGACACAATAAGCATAATAATAGATAGAATATACAATTCCAGTCATTCACCACTACCAATTCCAAAAGATGAATAAGTTGCACTGCTAAAAATATGTACAGCCGAAGCGTCTTTCGTTGGCCCGGGTAACACACTATATCAGCAAATAGGTGTAGCAATGGGTTCTCCATAGGGAGTACTCTTCGCAAATTTATATGTTGACATATCGAAGAAATGTTATTTAAAGAAGAGCCAGAGCTAAAACCTAACATATATCGTCAACTGCCGATACGTTGACGATATGTTTGTTACGTATAAAGATGATGATCAAATAGCAAGACTTCTACAACGAATAAATTTGTCAAAATTAAAGTTTACAATGGAAAAATCAACTGAAAAAAAACTACCATTCCTAAACATAGTAATAAAAAATGTGCAAAAAGAATTTAAAACCTCAGTATACACCAAAGTAACAAACAAATGGCAGTAGTAAAAATTGTCAAACATATATAGAGAGCACGATTTCTGACTAATTGCTTTGGTGTTATGTTTTACTGCTTCGGTTTATTGTCTCAAAATTGTTGTTGCTATCATTGCCACTGGTGGCGTTGTTATAATGAAAACAGGCGAGTTAGCAGAAAGATCCGAGTAGTGGTTCCACTGCATATCAAAAGTTTCTATGTCTTTGTCACAGTCAACTTTTTTACTTTTCTCAAAACCTTCATAATCGCCTTCGCCATCATCTTCACCATTACGGTAGTAATGAAAGGCATTAGAAAAAAGTCGAGGTTTCGTTTTTTTAAGTTCCTTCCTCAAATTATTTGTATCGAGTTTTTCTAATCTTTTTGACTGTGTGTGATCGATCATTCTGTTCATATCTTGCGTATGCCTGTCCTACCTGGTAGCTACAACCGCCTACAACGTACACAGAATGCAGCCTTACGTGTGATAACTGGCTGTCACAGCATTACTTCAGAACAGCATCTGCTATCGGAATGCCAGATGCTATCGGTAGGACAGCATGCTGACAGTCTATCCTCCCAATTCTTTCTGCAATACCACGACCCAAGACACCTATGTCCTAACCACAACACTGCCCAGACCTTATCGCAATATGAAAGACACCATCAGTTCAAGATGGTCTCAAACAGTACAGATGATACTTCCTGCGGTCATCAACGATACCGCTCTGAAACTGACAAACTGACTTCATCACTCTCCACAGTAACGCCAACAAAACATCCATCGATTCATTAATTGCCCCGGTTCTATTCATTGGATGGCCACCACCAACATCTAAAATAAATAAATCCGAAGAAAGTCTGCGCAGGTCAAATAGACGATGGGCATAGTAACATCTGTTCTTTCTGCCATCAATGTTCCACATCTGTTCAAATGCACCAACAACCCCACTGACTTTAAAGCCATAGACTTATGGTCCAACCCAATAGCGGTGGCAAACTGGCTCAGACCTCGCCTGGAGCAATCACTAAATGTCTGATGCAGGGCATCAACAACACACGCTAAACGATGCATCACACATAAAACATGTGATAGGTGGGTTTTTTGTCATATTCGAACCCGGTCACTGCACGCACTGCGAAACAGCATTAGGCGATCTTAACCACTAGACCACATAAGCCGCCCATAAGTGACTGAACTGAAAAAACATTTCATATAATCAACGCTTCCAAAAATTTATAACGTACTCTAATAAACGTAATTTAAAGACAAACACAAATTTTTATAATTTTTTTTGCATGATTGTATAAACTATTATCATGTTGCTATTTGTAAAATATATCTGATAGGATGAAACCGAAAGGTTTATAAAGAATTAGCGTACAAATATTGATAAGCAGATAATTGTCAAGCTTCTAAAATTTTCACATTTTAGTCAAACGGTGGCAAAAGTTGATAACTTGCGTTGAGATCTCTACTTGTTTCAATCAAATCTGGATGAATAATTGATTTTGAAATGAATAGAAAAGTTTTCAACTATTTCTATAAAATAAAATCTTGCTTCATTTGAACAAGTAGAATAATAAAACAAACTGTTTTCCGTCTAAACGTTTGCCAATATTCGTATTTTCATTTTTTCAAATATATATTTTCCCGCTCACGTGATTTTTCAGTTTTTTTTACTCACTATCACTAAGCTAAATATATATATATATATATATATATATATATTTATTTATTTATTTTTGAAGGATGACCAAAAAAGATAAACTTGTGGATAGGCCACACTTAACTTTATATTTATATATATATATATATATATATATATATATATCTATTCCAACCTCGTTCCAAACTGTATATGTAAAAAAAGTTTGGTAGTATTTCTTCTTTTAAACATATTTTATTGAAATCGACAGCTGCGACATAACATTATTCAATTTTTTCATTATTGTTTCAAAATTTCCTATTAACTTTTTATCATTAAAGTTTAATAAATTCAATGGATTGCAGCGATCAATTTCATTAAAATATGTTTACAAGAAGTACTACTAAACTTTACTAACATCATTTCGGTTGTTGTTACGTTGATTGTCGTTTTCTTGTTCTCGCATTGTTTATTGGTATTTCGACACGTTCTGGCGTTAAATTTCGTTTTATTTTGTTATTTCGTTGACAGTTTCATTATTTGCTAATAGTTTTTTTGCTATAATAGTTTAATTTGTCGTTTTCTAATTTGTATTTAAATTGAAAATTTTGCGATATTTTTACCCGCCGCATATTGTTTATTGCAGGTTATCAAAGACAAAAACTGTTTTTTCATTTAACATCTGCTATGCCGAGAAAGAATATACAACAAATTTGCTCACCGAACGTTGATAAAAATTTTGTTTTGCCGGAAGCAATTAATAGTAGTATTTTATGCTGTTGTTGGGAAGTTTTGATTGACCCAGAGTTACAAACAAATGGTGATGTTTTGAAGTTAACAAACAAATGTAATAATTTGAAATGGTTTTGCGAGTAATGTATAAAATATGCAGACGGATTTAAGGGTCTTACCAAATTACTCAAAGCTAGATTTTGTTCACTGGAGACAAAATTAAAGACTCTCGACTCTATCGGTGACGATCTTCTCAGACTCCGTGCAAATATAGAGGCTAATAAAGATAGTCATGATCGATTAAAACATGTCGATAAAAAGATTGACCGGTGAATTGGTACTTTAAAAAATGAAATCAACACTTCTTGGACGGATGTGGTCAAAAGAAACATGGATGAAGTAAACAAAGGAATAACTTCGGTTCTCTAAATATAAAGCGGTTTATGAGTTGTGGTCTAATGGTATGGACGTATTCGTATTGACTGAAACATGGCATGGTTCATCTAATAATTTAACAGTAAAACTGGCAAAGCCTGAAGAATTTGGTTATGTTAACTGAGTGCGACCTCTGGCCCCAGGTCATGGTGGAATAATTGTTTACTTTAAAAAAAGTTTTAGAGTTAAAAAAATCGAAATGCCGGTTTTCAACTCCTTCGAGTCATTTGTGCTTAGAATATTCTGCGGTAAAACAAGTATTATTTTGTTAACTATTTATAGACCGAGTTCAGCTCCAATCACACCTGTTTTTTTCAATGAAATCGAAATCATGTTGAAACATGTATCGATAGGCGCTGATTTTTTGCTACTGGCTGGAGATTTGAATGTACACGTTGAAAGAACGGATGATGATCATGCTGTCAATCTTCGGAAAATCTTTGAACTATTTAATATGCGTTAAGAGAATTGACAAACCTGATCATGTTCATGATGGTACCTGGGATTTGGAGGCTTCATCGACTGAATTTCCGGCATCTGCCTGTTCGGTTGATCCTTGTGGTTTGTTTTCTAATCATGGTGTGGTTCAAGTTAATTTTCCTTTGGTGTTCAAGTTGCCGGTGGTTAGAAAAAACTGGTTCATTCATGGAATCGGGTAGATTATAATCAGTTCGCCACTTTAAAACAAAACTCGCCAACCTGTGGATGGTTTGATTTGTCTGATCCAGAGTTTTTGATCAAATTGTTTGAGAAAGAAATCAAAGCTATAATAGACATTGTTGCTCCACAGCACTTAGTAGCATCCATGAATATACCAGTTTTTATTTGATGAATGAAGGTTTTCTAAGAAATCATGCAAAAGAGCTGAAAGAAGGTCCAAACGGCATTAACATAAAAAATTTCTTTGAGTCTGTCAATAAAAAAAATATTTTGCTTGCTTCGAAAAAATAAAAATTACTGGAGATGTTTAATCGATTTCAATCAATCTAACCCCTGGCGTTTTAGAGGACAATCATTAAGGTTTTAAGCACAACCAATTCATCAAATTCACCGAATATGTCTGTTGATTTAAACTCAGATGACTTAGCACAGTTTTTAAAATTAAAGTAGATACAATTCTTGAAACAACGAAACATGCCAATAAACGAAAAATGCAACCGGCGCATTCGATAATTTTGTCTTTATCTTTTCAACAATGCTCTTGTAAAATTGTTCACGATTCAACAATGAAATCTTGTCTGTTGTTCTGTCTACCAACAAAACTGTTCCAAAAGCACGTTCATCTGTTTCTTTCGTTTTTAAAATTTTTCATCAACTTATGTCTAACATCTGGTTATTTTTCGATGTCGTTAAAATTTGCAATAGTCACTCCATTATTGAAGAAACAGACTCTAGACAAGAATACGTTAACAGATTATAGACCGGTGTCAAATCTGCCATTTTTATCTAAAGTTATTAAGCGAATCGTTCAAAAACAGCTTCTGCATATTTCCAATCAACACAACTTTCCACCAAAATATCATTCGGATTTCAAAAAATATCACTTAACTGAGTCTGTATTGATTGATGTTGCATCAGAGTTTGCAACTATGGATGGTCAAAATATCAAATTTTGCTCTACTCGAGGTGACTTTATTCGATTGCTTTAATCATGCCATTTTACCAAAGAAACTTAAAAAATCTCTCGGAGTCTCAGGAGTTGCAATTAAATGGTTAGAATCATGTCTTTTAGGGCGTAAACAACAAGTTTCATTTAACAATAAAGCATCAAATATCTATGAATTCAACCATGGTGTACCTCAGGGTTCTGTTTTGGAAACACTTCAGTTTCTACTGTACACGTCAGACGTATTCGATTTGATAAAGTCATTCAGTTTGAAGTATCACGCATTTGCTGATAATATTCAGATTGTGGTTGCTTTGTTCCAAAAACCGTTAACAAACTTGCTCGATGTCTGTTGGCCGTAAAATCATGGATGATTGATCACCGACTGAAATCGAATAAATTTTTGCCTGTAGGAACGTGGCAGAAAATTGCTAGATTGCAAATTGACTCACAGAATCAGCAACTCTGATATCTCATTCTGCCAGTTCGTCCGAAATTTAGGAGTTATTTTTGAAAAAAACATGTCAATTCACAATTCGTTCATTGATCAAACCAATGATAATGATTTGACCTGAAGACCCGGAAGATTAAAAATCTTGTAGTGGCCACCAGTTCAAAAAATTTCAGAAAAAAAACGAAAAGAATAAAGATTAGCGTCTAGAGACCCAGTTCCCCCGAGGTAGGACAATGTTCTCTTTGCCATCAATTTTTTGCGCCAAATTAGGCGATCAGTTATATCCATTTCATTTAAATTTAGAGCTTTCAGGACTTCTTTGGACGGCCTTTGGGACGTGTGCCAGGTACTTCAACATCTGCAAGAGAAGTTATGGCACTGTTTTCACTTCGTTTGACATGACCAAACCACCGCAGACGATTTTGCCGGCATTCGTCCTTTATATCATCTAAACCAGCACTACGCAGGATTTCGGTGGATTTGATGTGGTCTTTCATCCATCGGAGCATTTTCATATCGGTTCGTTGAAGTTGTTGTTCCAGTTTGGTTGTCATTGGCCATGTTTCTGCACAATATAACAATACCGGACGTATCACAATTATAAAGTCTTGATCGTAGTGGTATTGTGATGTCACGCCGCATCAATATAGAGACAAGGAGATGCCATTTATTCCAGGCTGCACGTATGCGTGCTCGAACGGCAGCTTCAGCTGTTCCAGTACAATCCAGAACATCCCCTAGATATTAAAACGATGTACTTTCTCTACCTTAATGGCTTCAAAAACATTGCTATTTCGAATTTGTTGTTGTGGATTGATGCAAGCAGGACAAACAAAATTGGACACTTTAGATAAATTGCCAACAAAGTTTGTGACACCACTGGCTACACTGACACCACTGGTTAAACTGCCCTGAGCATGACATAAAACTGCATCCACGCTGACTTGCGTGCTTTTGAGCAAATGGCTAAGCCCACCGCTTATAACTGGTGGTTGTCTTCAGGATGGGTGTCCGGATGTGACAAATTTCCCCAAAATTTAATTTATTTCGTGAAATTAAATAACTAAAAAAAAAGAACAAAATGACAAAAATCAATTAATATATAATAATGATTAAGAAAATGGTAGACAAAGAAAATCGTGAGCTGGAAAAAAGTTTGAGTTGTTATTATATAATTTTATAAAAAATTTACATAAAATTAAATCGGAGATTGATTTTTCAATTAAGATAAAAAATTAGATTTTTTAAATAACTCTAATTAATTAGTTCCAAAGACGCATCGATACATTGAATACAGTGTTAATAATAAAATTTGTTCTAGGTTTAGATAAATAAAAAATAGGGTTGTTTCTGAAAATTTTTAGCCTTGAATTGATAAAACTGTTTACGTTGTCATTAAGATGGGAGCAATAATTTAATTTATATATTTTAAAAAGAAAACTTAATGAATACATTACATGCAAGTCTTCTATAGACCTGTTTGAGGATTCATAATAAAAAATGATATGATGTATGCTACTGGAAGATGAGGACATAGATGAAGCAAACAATGGAACAAATTTTGAAGATGATATAACGATAGTTGACCTTCCGTGGATCTACGAAAATCTAAATTAGATTATTATTATGGGCGTCCCCCATAACGGGACGGTGCCGTGTTCACAAGGTGCCTCCATTTCAAGCGATCATGAGCAAGTCTCCAGGCCGAGTAAGGACCGTAGTTGATAAGGGACAGGTTCTTTTCCACTGAGCGAATCTATGACGGTCGAGTCCAGTCCGGTGGCGGTCGGTCTATGACAGCTTTTAAAGCCCGGTAATGATCCTCCATAGGACTGGTACAAGCTATGTGACCAAAGAAGTTTAGACGACACCTGAATAAAAGTGAGGAAACGGAGGGATGCTGTGTTCTTCTCCTCACCTCAACATTGGTGACGTGATCGCGATAGGTCAGACGAAGGATTCTGCGCAAGCATCAATGATCTGTAGCGTCTGGCCTCTTCAAACGAGCGCCAATGGTTGACCACGCCTCGCATCCATTGAGCGGCATGGGGATGATGTATGCGTTATACAATCAACCTTTGGTCGTCACCGAAATGCCCGAGTGCCATATACCACAATCAAGGAACCTCATACACGCGCGGACAATGATGATTCGACGCGAAATTTCAGCGTCACTACTGCCTGACGAGTGTATTTGGAAGCCGAGATATGGAAACGAACCCCCAATCAGTACGTCATTACCCAGCACAAAAACAGACGCAGGTGGCGGATCGCCCAGAGAAATTGCCTGAATTTTCGTTTTGTCCCAGTTGATTTCTAATCCAAAAGGCTTTGCCTTCTCGGACATAGTAGCCAACTACAGTATGAGAACATCTTGCATCTCAGTCAGCAGAGCGACATCATCTGCATAGTCCAGGTCCGTGAACACCTCCCTGCCGATTGTGGCGCCGAGCATACCTTTGTGTACGGAACGCTCCATGATCTATTCCATCGGAGGCCAAGAACTCATCCGGCGCAAGTATACACCCCTGTCTGACGCCGCTATCAATCTCGAACTACCAAGAGCATCGCCCCTCTGATCTAACACAGCTCAAGGTGTGGGTGTATAGAGCCTTAATCAGTTTTACTAGGTGATCGGGGATGCCCAGACCACGGAACATCAGCCACGTGGCATCCATGTTGACTGAATCAAAAGCCGCTCTCAAGTCAACGTAGGCAATCCAGGGAGGTCTACCAAACTCACGTCTGGTCTGTAGAAGGAGTGAAAGCGTGAATATGCTGTCGATGGTAGACCTACCAGGCGTGAAGCCACTTTGCTCTCCACGGTGCCGAGACAGCAAGAGAGGACGGATGCCAAATTAGATTGTTAGTCATGATTGAACATTGGTGCTAATTTTAACGCTATTGAGTAATATTAAAATGTTATCCATTTTCAACTTGAAATTTTTATTTTACAATAAAAAAAATCCTAATCTTTTTTTACTAATTTAGGTTAAAAATATGCCGAAACAGAAAAACGAGCCTAGTAACATGCTTGCTAGCTCCGGATTTCATCTCCATAAACTGAATTAACAAATAGTGATTCATTTAAAAAATAATAAAAATTTGATTAGTATGCTTACTATTGATTTCAGGACCACGACATGAACCGGAATTAAATTCTTTTTGCAATGTTTCGTAACCATTGTAGAGTCTTTTTAATTCTAGTTCTGTTTGGTTAACTGAAGCTAACAAATTCTGTAATTATATATCGAAGAATTTACTAAAACGCATTTTACAACTGAATATTCTTAAGTAAAATGCTACCGTTGCATACCATCATTTCCTAAATTTACAAAAAGTTAAAAAATAATTCGACTTATAAATGAAAGTTAGCTTTTAGCAATACTGTAAGAATTCTGTAACAAATTCTGTAATTATATATAGAAGAATTTACAAAAACACATTTTACAGCTGAATATCCTTAAGTAAAATGCTACCTTTGCCTACCATAATTTTTTAAATTTACAAAAGCTTAAATAAATTCGACTTATAAATAAAAGTTAGCTTTTAGCAATACTTGTAAAATTATATGCTTCATAAATAAGATTTGTTTTTAAAAACCATAGGCTGTAAGATGATGTATTTATATACAAAGTTTTAAAAAAGTAAAATCGTACATATTTCTCACCTAGATGATATACAAATAAGGTAGAAACTATTGTTTTGTTTGTACAAATAGCATTTAGTATTTCTAATGAGATCTATCACATTGTTTGATAACCAGGATGACGGAGTGGGATAAAAAATATCCGACTTCAACCAATCAAAAAATTCTGATTTCGGGTAAAAATTTCTAACTCCGACTCCGGGTTAGGATCCCATCTTAATTTTACTTAAGCAACACTTTGATTTTATTGACATTATTAGCATCTATTTTTAGTGTTAAAGATGATTGCATGTTGCTACAAATATTTATCTTTTAAAAACACGATCTCAAAAAAATATTTTCAAAATAAAAGATTAAAAAATTGGAACTATTACAGTTCACTCAAAGTTTTTTATCAATTATCTGGTAACTGCAATTTTTAATATTTTTGCTTGTCCTGTTCAAAATTGTAATAAAAAGCCTATGGTCTACCATGGTAGATTTATCTGCATCAATGACGCATATTTCAACAGTTATAAAATAAAATTGAGGAGGGGTTTTTTGTTTTCAACATTCATGGTGGGTTCATAAATTTTTGAAATGTTGTCGCTTATTTTTATTTGAAATGTATGATTGGTTTGGTAAGAAATTTTCGAAATAGTCCTCTTAATCCAACTTTCAAACAAGATTTTATAAAATTCCATAGTGCCATTGCGTGTCGAACGCCACAGAAAAAAAATTAGGACCGCCTGCTCCTAAGTTAATCAATGATTGTCTGATGAAGTTTTTCAAAGAGATAATAGGATGCAATGTTAACCTTCCATCCATGCCACTGCACTTAGTGTTTGACATTACATTGGTTTTACTGATGTACTATATTAATCTGTAGTTTATTCTTTTTTATATTTTACATAGGCAACTTGTTAAGGACCTGGGTCTATAATTGTCAAAAAATTTTTGTGTTTGGTTTATTAAACAGTAATATTATTGCGTGATGCCATAATTCAGGAAATATTGAATTTGTTCACATAAAGTTATATTAAAAATTCGGATTAGTTATATGAGCGATGAATTTTAGTATATTGATCTGGGCCTGGGGTAGAGTTTTTACTATTGTTTATACATGTGTTATTTTTTTTAGAGTTATTACTTCCACTGCTTATTTTCCTGGTTATGTGAATCGAATTTTTATAGATTTCTTTTTTATGATTTGTACATTGATTTACTAGATTACAGACAATATGGAATTGTTAAAAGAAAATCCACAATTATCCATTATTGAAATTGCACTATTGGACTAAAAAAAAGTATTAAAAACCCAATAAAAAAATAAACTCACAATAAAATCAAAGGAAAAGTGTTCATAAAAAGCATGAATAAGCCCTTGTGATGCATCATTTTCAGGTTTCTTTGCTGTTCTTTCAAAAAGTTTTATTTAAGTTTAACATAAATAAAATAAACAAAAATTCTTTCTAATTGTTCAAAAAATAAAAATTAACTCTTCAACATTTTGAAATCATTAAAAAATTTAAATCTTTCATTTTAATTTTCACTCTAATTTATTTTTATTCTTTTGAATTTTTCCTTGCTTTGTTTTAATCGTAACTCAAAATCTCATTAAATTAAATCAATAAAAATTTACTTCAATGAAGAAAGAAATTCTGATTTCGTTTCCGCAGGAAAAAATATTAATGCTGAATTTAACCGATAAGGTGGATTTGATATTGAACTAAGATTTGTTATTGTAACTGGCAGAGAGACAAACTTCTTACTTGCAAAAAAATGTTACAATAAAGAAATTAAAGTCTAATCTAGTGAATGTTTAAATAAAAAACAATAAAAATAATAACCATAGCAATACAATTTATATATACAATTTTTTAAATCCCTTAAAAATAATTTTTAAAAATTACAATTAAAATTAAATTAAAACCGATGAAATGCAAATATTCATTTTTGCAAGTTCACCGGGTCAGCTACACTGAAATAAATAAAGTAACAAAATTGTCCAGAGGATTGACTTGCCATCTCAATGTTGATGCATGAAACTCACATTTTCAAAATCTGCACAGCCGACAATTAACGCGGAAAACCTTAGAAGACAATACTAGCGTCTTCTAGGTGTGATCTTACAAGGGATTTGTACACACACAAAAATGCATCTTCGGATAAGAATTTAAAATTACTTGCTAAAATTCGTAACATTGATTTGGCTTTGGCTATTCTGCAGTAAACATACTCTTTGAACTGTAGCTTCAAATCAATGATTAAACCCAAATCATTAATTGAGTTGACCTCTGGAACATTAAATAGTTTATCAGAAAGTAGAATAACGTAACCACTGGATGATGATTTAGGCCTATCCGCAGGAAAGAACATTTTTCAACGTTTATTTTCATATTCCATTTGTTGAACCAATATAAAACCATACTAAACTCGTTTTAGAGACTAATTACCCAAAAAATCATAGCATCATCAGCAAAAAGGAGCATAATGTTAAACTCACGAAAAATGTCATTTATAGTCTAAGCACACTCCCCTGGGGAATCCTGTTAGTGACGGGCAGCTAATAAAAAAATTTATTATCGATCGTAACAGCGAACAATCTGCTGGTAGGATAATTATTAATCCATTTCAGCAATTTAGCGTAAACACAATACATTTCTAACTTAAACAAAAGCTTCTCGTGAGAAATTTTATCAAAAGCCTTTTTTAAATCGATATATATCACGTTTGTTTCCAGACCTGAGTTTAAACCTCCAGTAACAACATCCAAACATCCATAAGTTTTAGTAAATGAAGCGTTGTTGAACACTATGGCAAGAATCCAAACTGATCTTTAACAAAAAACTTATTTTTAAGAAATGGTTTAATAAATGGTCATTAATAATTGATTCTAACAATATGCAGCAGATGGAAGTTAAAGAGATTAGTTTATGATTGGATGCATTATTTCTAAAACCTTTTTTATACAGAGATATAAGTGAACTTAACTTTCAATCTCGCGCAAGAACACCTTAATCAATGGATCTCTGAAAAATCTGACACAGATAAGGTGACACTGAGTGAATAGTCTCAAGCAACACCCTTGGATGAATATCATCAGGTCCTGATGATTTACCAATACAAAGTAACTTTATCTTTTTTATAACCAATGAAAAATCAACCAAAAGCAAGCACTCGGGTTGACATCCAGAAAGAAATCTTCATTCAATGCTACACCTTCAATAAGAACAGAAGCAAAATAACTGGCAAAAATTAGAACACACAAATAACCTAGGCGTAAAATCAGATTTTTCAATCGTCAATTTAAATATTTAGAAACTTTTTATTATAAAATTATTCATAAACAACAACACACGTTTAGATCGGGGGTTGCCGTTTGGCTACCTATGATAAAACCGAAATACCCCTCAATGCCATTCACATCTGTCACTCGCCTCAGTATCACGCAACCCCGCTTTCACTATGTCCTTCTCCACCAAACATCCTCCATCCGCGTTCAGCTTAACCCCTAAATAAACAAAGCTTTCCACTCTTTCAATACCACCACTCAACCCCGTCCTTGCGTCCGTCCTATTAATCACACCATGAACACACTTCTTACATTTGAACGTGCCTTCCACCTTTTTCACCTCATATCACTACATCTCTTATGCACCCACTTTTGACATCCTACACATAATACCGAGTTAGCCCTCACTCTCCTGTCACATACCCCACAGAGGTCTATTTTACTTATCACTAGCTCCCCCCCCCCTTCCCCACTCACCATTACCTTCGTCTTACCAATATTAACTTTTAACCCTTTCTTTTCGATAACACTTTTCCATCTGTCAAATTTTAACTGCAATTCTTCCATGCTATCAGCCATCAAGACTAAATCATCTGCATACAAAATCTCAAATAACAACCCCTCCATTATGTTTCCACACACAACATCCATCACAAT